ACAAGATTAAATTTACCATAACCTGTTGTTGACAAATTTGCAGAAACCGATTTTGCGCTACTGACTAGTGACCTGTACATACTGGTCGTGTGCTCAAAAGTGCCATCACAGTGAGTCCGAGCGAGGTTATGATACCATACCGATTCCCCTGACGGTCTGACGGTGATTTCTGTGGTAAGTACATATCCGATTACGATTTATTACTCTTCAACAAAATACCAGGTTTATAGTATTTCCCTTCGCAACTTTGAGCCGAGTGAGTGATACGTAAACAGAAATGTTCGGACGCGAAGTGGACCCTAACCTCACCGCGCCGTATGGTGTTGACCGTTCGTCCCCCCCCTCAGCCTCAGCCCCACGGGCTCGGGCTCTCTAATACTAACTCAAAAAGGTAGAAACGCAGCAGGTAACTCATCCTGGTTTTCACCTCTGTCTTCATTTGTGCGCGGGGTCACTTACCTCATCATCCCCGCCCTCCGTGGTGTCGCTCGTAGAGTCGCTCTGCTTTGCGCTGCCGTCGCCCCCATCGCCGTCCTCTCCGCCCCCAGCCGAGGCCGGGGCACCACCCCCCTGGGCCCCCGCCCCCGGCTGCCTCCGCCGGCGAGGCTCCCCGCTCCCGCCGCCGTCGCCCCGCCCCCTGCGCGGCCAGCCCTGCCGGGAGAAAGGGGGAGAGAAAGAGAAGGGGTTCTTATAGACGATCCGCTTTCACCAGGACGGCGCGGCCGGCATGCTCGCCCCGCCCACTCGTCCGTCTAATTCGTATTCTTTGGGAAAGGGCATGCAGAGCAGGTGCCGTTTTTCTAGAAAGGTTTGGGAGAGGACGCGACCCCGCGGACTGCTAATGTCCCCGCCGCCCACACGCAACCCCGCCAAGCCTCGCTCGCCCGCCCGGCCGCGCGTTCAGAGCTGCGATGTGAGGGCGGGGCGGATACCGTTGAGCAGCTCTTGGGAAACGCCGAGCCAGCAGCACCAGGTGGCGTGGCGTGGCGTGACGTGGCGGGTTAAGTCTAGCAGGAGCACCGCCACTTGAGCAACATCGCGATGCGATTCTCCGCAATCAATCCGTTTGGCCGAACAAAGTCGTGACCGACTCCCCCTCTCTGAGCGTGGCGGCGTGGCGCGGCGCGGCGCGGCGGGGCGCGGCGTGCCATGCTGGCCGGCCGCGTGGCGCGCAGCAGATACTCCACGCGTCGGGGTGAGCGCCGCAGGAGCGCCGCGTGAGCCCCCGGGCCTATCTCTTTGTACATGCGTGCCGCGGGCGTGTCGTTACTCCACGCGCTCGGGACACGGCCGGGGCCTGGAGCTGGAGCCGCGAGTAATCGACCACGCGCTGTCGCGGTGCGTGGCGGTCGTGTTCCGTCCCGCTGCAGTGCCTTGCCCCGGAGGGTAGCCCACTCCGATAAAGTTCTTCCCTTCCGGCAGCAGGCGAGGAGAACGAACTCACTACCGACGTTCGAATATCCGTTTGCTCAGTGACTGCAGTGCCCGCGGCCGGCGGACAGCAAGGGTGGGTTTGCCTTTGATACAGAATGATTTGAG